AAAAACTAAAGCAAGCATGTAAACGAATATATTAACATATTAATATATTCGTTTACACGATTAAAAATATAATGAGATGATTAAGCTTTTAAATCAAAGGTTATTTTGATCCTTTATATATATCATCTTTATCCAAATAGTCCTTAATATATAAAAAGAGTATCATTTTGGTCCTTAGCCCTAAAAACAAACTGAAAAATAAAAAAAGTTGTTAAACTTAACAGTGGGTCCCACAGTTGTTGGACCCTTACTTCCTCCCTCTTTCTTCTGCCATTTCTTCTTCTCCATTTCTTTCCTCCACCATTTTTTCTCCAATTTCCAATTGATTTATTCTTCTATTCACAGCCAAAATCCTCTCTTACATACAAAAAATTCTTCAAATTTTAAAAAAAAATGTTGGTAAATTTTTATTTTCCATCTCTGTCCGTTCAATTTTTATTTTTGTAATTTTAAAAGATATAATCGTGAATTCGCTTTGCAACATTGGGAGACTGGAAAAAGTGTTTGAATTACTTAGAGAGAACGAAAGTGACATTGTTACTTACAACATTTTGATATGGGGGTTCTGTAGAATTGGATTTGTTGAAATGGGTTTTGAATTTACAAACATTTTTTGAAATTCGGAGAAACTTTTGTATGTAAGAGAGGATTTTGACAGTGAATAGAAAAATAAAAATCAATTGAAAATTGAGAAAAAATGGTGGAAGAAAGAAGATAGAGAAGAAGAAATGGCAAAAGAAGAGGGTGGAAGAAAGGATCCACCAAGGGTTGGACCCACCGTTAAGTTTAACAGCTTTTTTTATTTTTTAGTTAGTTTTTTGGGCTATGAATCAAAATGATACTATTTTTATATATATTAAAGACTATTTGAATAAGGTGACATATACAAAAGACCAACATAATTCAATCCATATAGATAAAGGACCATTTTGATCATTTTCTCCTCGATGGGCTTACTAGCAAAATTGGGATTTGTTACGCCAAGTAAATTTGGGAAGTTCTAAAGGAGAGAAAACAATACTTTAGTTTATTACTTCATATATTCTATTTTAGGCGACAATTTTTCTTTTTATATGTTTTAATAGAAATGATATTCATTTCTATATTTTAAAATAATTTATCGTTAGATCTTTTTTATCGGCCTTAATGATATGTGTATATACACACAACACAAAAATAAAGTTCTAGCATGTTTAATATCACATGATCTACAAAAAAATCTATTCTTTTATGCACAAAAAGACTATAATATGTTTAATATTACAGATTTCATAAATCTTTCATTTTTTCTTAAACTATGTTTTTTGTTGAATAGTACCACAGAAAATGAGAATAAATACAAGCTGTGTGTTTTAATTTAATTACCTGGTTGATGAAAATCTTGAAGAAATGAAGCTAGCTCGACAGCAGCTTCCTGCACCTACAAGTTACAAATTACGTATATGATATATATAATTGCCTTGATTGGATGATGACTACTTCATGTAGAATTGTAGCTAATTTATAGTAGATTGTTTTTTACTTTTTAAAATATTGGGGGTACCTAACTCCCTATGTAGGAACAATTTTTTATTTTTTGTTATTTCCATATCTGTATTGTGGTCTGATTAAATTTGGATTTATTCATTGCATGATTCATTTTTAAAGGTGACACTCTCAATAAGATTTTTTCCATTCTCTGAGATCTGAACACAAAACTTGATGAAGAGATTTCAACCATCTCACCAAAACTAACGTTCAAATAAATTAGAATGGGGAATATTAGGTAAAGGCCACTAGCGTTCCACTTTGAACATCTTCGTGGCCCTTTTCCCCCACTTCACTAGTTGGGAATGTGTCATATAGAAGAGAGCATGCAAAAATTGTTTACACTATTAGTAGTAAACTAAATTTATTCCTAATTGAAAACGATGGATTTAATTTGGTGAGTATTATGCTCTCTTCCTCAATCCTATTGGACGAATATTTCTTGGACCCCTACATTATTGCAACTTCTTTTTTTAATGTGTGTTTGGTTTTAATCATGTGTTATAGAAATTCAATGATTTCGGCTAATTTAAATTAAGGGATAATTTCAGAGACCTCCTTCCAAGTTTTGCTCCATTACACTCATCTTCCTTGTGGTTACGATATTACGTCTACCTACCTTATTTTCATTTTCTTGTAACAATTCTTTAAACCTATTTAAAATAAATATAAATTAATTTAGATTTGACATTTTTACCCTTCTATATATTAATTTCTTCATATTAATAAATAAATATTATATATAAAAAAATAACTAATTTAACAAATACTTTAAAAAGTAAATAATCACAAATACATTAATACTATTTTATATATAAAAAAAAAACTGACCCACCATTTTCACCAAATATTAACTCTTCATCTCCATTTCACCTTTACCAATTCACTTATGATTTTTTTCCCCACAATAACCCATCATTTTCCGGCAACAATTTCTTCAAAAATCGAAGATAAAAATGAACTCCCCAAGAGAGAAATCCGATAAGAACATCAATTTTGTTCTAGTTAAACATTTCCACAAGCTAAGAAGAAAAATGATCCAAGAAATAGAGATAAGTAGTTGAAAATTAGATCTAAGCTTGCATGAGTGGTCAATAATAGAGGAAGCTGTTAGTTTCTCAAAGCAATTGAATTTGTAATTTTGAAAATGACGACACAATTGTTGATTGCAGCAGTGATGATGATCATCATTTTCTCTAAATACCCACAACTACTCAACGTCCTACCCAACCTCCGAACTCTCCTTGGATAGAAGGGTAAAATTATCAAAATCTAAATTAATTTGTATTTATTTTAAATAGGTTTAAAGAAAGATTACAAGAAAATGAAAATAAGGGAGATACACGTAATATCGTAAACCACAAGGAGGTAAGTGTTATAGAGAGAAACCTGGAGGGAGGTCTTTGAAATTATTCCTTAGATTAAAGTTTTTTTTAGTATGTTCTTATTTTCTAGTGCTCGAACCTGCAATCTTTACTTAAGAAGAGTTAGAATTTCGAATCAGTGATTTTGAATTCTAAAAATAACAGTTTATTGGGTTCGTGATAAAATTATTTATACATATAATATTCGGATCAAAACTATTGAATTATGGTATTATGCTTGAAGGTTTGACTCGTGTTTTAATTGTGAATGGTATTATGCTTGAAAAAATAGCATCGACTACTCAATTTATTCTATTTGCCCTTCTCGTTTGGCAATTGGGAAGGTATATCCCCATTGGTGCTAACGCTATACTTTCTTAAGCTCTTAGTGGTCATTTAACCGTTGGTTAGGAGCTAAGTTATTCATGTGTATTTTTTGGTTAAACAAGATTTTATTTATAAACATGCTAAGCTATTACATTAGCATGATACTTAATACAGTGTTTGATTTGCAATTTAGAAATTCATATAACTAATACATAATGTTAGAAAGAAATCTATATATTATTTTATGCAGAATAGAATATGTACTCCCTCCATCCAACAATAGTTGTCCACTATACTAAAAATAGTTGTCCAACAATACTTGTTCAATTTAGAAAATCAAGAGATAATTTGTCTTTTGTGTTGATTTTACCCTTATTATTAAATACTATTATCATCTAACATATATCTCAAAGCTTTAAATTTAATAAAGTCAAAAGATAATATAATAATATTACCTTTTTTTTTTTCTTTTAAGGGATGTGTCAAGTCAAATAACAGACGACTATTATTTTAGAACATTGGATAAAGTATATACTTAGCAAATGCCTGCAAAAGAATAATAAATGGATAATATCATTTTGCAGATCACAAAGTACATATTCCTTATTCTCGTCGAGGCTGAATAATACTAGTATATATTAGCAGTCCTAGGTAGGAATAAATTAGAAGGGAAACTTATCATGTCCTACACAAATTGTCCAATTTTGTGCTTGATTCTTAAATGTATACCCTTGCTATTACTAAGAAAGAACTTTGTTGTTGTTCCTTGACAAATCTTTTTTTCTCGAAGAATTTGAACACATAAAATCCACTTATTTCATGTTGAAAATCCATCAAGGGCAAGGGAAAATATAAAACGATTTGCTACAGAAAGGATTTGAATTGACTAAATATGTAATGGAGAGAAACTGAAAAATTCCAGGATATAAATTCAAACTTTTTTTCCCAAAATTAAATGTACTCATAAATTTGGCCAAACAAATTTAATTTTTTCCCAAGTGATTGTGAAATAGGGCATATGTTTGTGGACTAAATAGCTTCCACCAACAAAGGGCATGGTTGTGAAAAAATGTCTTAATTTGACTGACCACTAAGTTTAAGAAGTAACGAGACTTTTGAATCTTAAATTAAAGTTGTGGTACTATTTAAAATTGCATGTAGAATGTTGAACTTGAAAAACATACTCAATATAGAACGAGACACTCTTTCTAGGACAAACTATAAAGGATGCCTCTGGGACAAACTAAAAAGGACGGAGGGAAGTACTATCTTCCTGTCCCTTTTTCTTGCCAGCAGCCATCTTTCTAGTGAAACTTTTCCACAACTCCATGACGTTAAAATCTTAAAACAATATTTTGTATAGACTAAAAGATTTCATCCAGGATAGGACGAATAAACGATCTTACTCATCTCCAACACCCATACCCCCCCCCCCCCCTTCCCAAACACACACACAGGATGAAAGATGGTGTTGGACAGAGTACTTCCCATGGGAATATGAAAGTGGACACCTCTGGGATATGGAGCAAAAAGAAAATGATACGCCATATGGGACTAGTACTTGAGAGAACATTTTCTGGAAAAAAAACTAAAGTGAAAAATGGAAAATAAGCATGATTACAATTTCACACATCAAAAAGGATTAGAATTTTCAAGAAATTGCTTTCTCACTAGGTACATCAGAATGCAAGCAGTGTGAAGGAATTTCCTAAGAATCTATGACAATAACTAGAAGACAATGCAAAATGACAAGAGGGAGAAATTAAATACATTTATTGATAAAAAAAACAGTCTTTATTTTTAGATCTTGGTACTCATATTGCACAAAAGAAAAAGAATATGAACTGCTATGAACCTATACTAGTTGATCCACATAATCAAAAGACTGCAACTAAAGTAGAAGTTGCTTTGGCAAAACTGTATTACGTGAATGGTAATATATACATTTCTTCAGCAATAAATGGTAGTAGTAATTAGTTAGTGGTTAATAAGATGAAAATGAAGAGAGATATACTTTTTGTGCTTCGTCCCGAACAGACTGCAGGTTGATTTTTATCTCCTTACAGAGTCTGCCTTCAATAAGCCGCACAGGCAACCAAAGCTTAGGTTCAACGTCGACAATGTAGGAGAGAGTTGTATTAAATGGTTCGTCCAAAGAAGAATCAAGCTCTTGGTCACCACCTGTCTTGCACTGCATGTTTTCACAACACTAAATAACGTAAGGGCTTCGACAAAACTTTAAACGATTTTGTTGGTAACACGCAATGAAGAACTCACACCTGCACTTCTAAAGGAGAATTAGGTCATAGTTGTAAAATTGTTGCAAATCAGCTTTAACTCATGGATTCAGAGAGATGATTTTCAAGATTTACTTTTCTAAGCTATGTAGACGTCAGCAAAATTATCAACATAAATTTTACCGCCAATTAATCATACATACATTAAGACATTTTAGAAATAACAGAGGAAAGTTCCAATTGTTGCTTCCATTCCATTTTAAACCTCACATTGCAGAGTTTCTACTGAGTTTCTAAGTGCAAATGAATAGCAAGAGGAGAATATATGTTGCAAATTTGCTAGGGAATAAATAATAAAAAGCAGAAGGAGAAATTATCCAAGTAAAAGGATGCACATGAATAATTCTTGGGCAACATCATATGTTGGTATTTCCATTTAGACACATATTTTCCAGATTCGAAACAAAGAATCTGATAGAAGAAGAGCAATAGAAAAAGAGAAGAAAAAATACTATACCTGTTCGATAGACCATTTTCCTTCAAAAATTTTGAAGTCGCCTTCTACCATCTTAAACTCAATATCACGCCTCTGACCAGTTGGGAGATCTTCAAGATCTTTCTCATAACATTCAATGACACCTTTAGCATTAAATTTAAGCCCGAATGCTAAGTCTTGCTCGCCAATCTGTTCAATATTACAATTTAATATCCAGATCACTCCAAGATACTAATATCTTGGAAATTCAAGAAGTATAAAGGGAATGCCATCTATTGACTGTAAATTATAAATTCAAATATCAGATAAGAGTGATATACCAACACAAAACTCATGTGTGTCCAGGCTAACTCAAGAATTTTCCATAAGGAGAAAGTGTGTTGCCAGTTGTCAAGGAAATATTTAATTCACATTGAATTGAATGTAAACAACTTTCTTTCTCTTTGTTGGAGTAATGAGTTTCAGATACATACATGCACACATATTTTTTAAGAAGTAAATTGATTTGTCAATAGCATCTAGAAGATACAACAGGTAAAAGAGTCAACTACTAGTGGGGAATAGGTATAAGTCTAATTTCACCTATTACTTTTCTAGGAGTATTTAGACCTTATCTTTTTCTTTTTTTTTATGACCATGGTGTCCAGGCTAGCTTTCGCGTATCTCGACTAATTCCACGGGATACTTGTCACCTCCCATCAGCATCATACCAGGTAACTCTATCTACCAAGGCTAGGACAGATGGGAAGAATCACCTAGTGTTTTTTGTCTCCACTCTCCACTGAGTTTTGAACCTGAAGCCTCAGGGTTCTCAATCATTTCATTGACCATTAGACCACACCCTTGGGTACAAGAGTATTTAGAACTTACCATAGATATTTATGTGCTAGTAAAAATATATAAAACTTTTAATATTATTAGTATTATATATATATATATATATCTGTATGTATATATTTAACTTTTCTATCACTTTTTTGTATGATAACGACATGAGCTGACTTAAATGGAGAAACATTGTTAGTGTGGATTCATATAGCTAACTCTAACTTGTTTGGGATTGAGACGAAGTAGTTGTTGTGCTTGTATGTGTTTTCCTGTGTGAATGTTTGTATATTCAATGCATAAGATCTCTCTGTGTATGGCCAACTAGTTGTAAATTAACCTGATGATCACAACAACATACCGAGTTTAATCCCACAAGTGGAGTCTAGGGTAAAGGTAGGATGTACACAGACCTAACCCCTCCCTTTGTGGGGTAAAGCGTTTGTTTTTGGTAGACCCTTGGCACCGAGTCACAGTACCATAACAGCTTAGAAAATAACACGATGACATTGGTTTTTATGTTTGGCACTTTAGTTTCTCTTCGATCTCGTTCCATATTATTTGTTGATAAGCATATCATATACTGTAGAGTAAGCATGTGTGAAGACTTCTTTCTTTTTTAGGTTTGTGATGAGATGCAAGTTGTTAGGGAGTTCTAAATTTTGAACTTGACAAGCTAACATCACTATTGCACTATTTGACATTTTACGTATTGGTGGCAAGAAGTCATGTTGATTAGATTTTCATCAGGGAGCATCAGGCAGTGAAGCAACAAATGCAATTGTCTAAAACAGGCCTAATGCATGGTCATTCTCAAGTTCAATAGTAGTAGCACCAGCAGTTGCTACTCTTACAACAACTCTTTCAATAGTTTGAATAATTTTAGAAATTTTACAACTATTGAGGGAAAATATTGTGTTGTCAGAAGTTCTTAAGTCTAATATCTCCAGAAAACAATCAATTATGGGGCACCACCACATCAACGATCAAACCAGTACATCTCTAAAAGAATGAATGTCTATAATAGTAGTAATAAATAATTAAACAGAATAAAACCTGAAGAAGTCGGGCAAAATTGGGTTCCTTCTCAAGCAACTGGCAGACAGCAAGACCAGGGATGAAATCAGCTAATCTTTCATAATCAGTAAGGACTTTCCAAACACTATGCAAGCTGGCCTTCACAGCTACCTTAGATCGAATCCTCCGACGATTCTTCCCCATTTTTTCAATCTCAGTCTCAACGCCGTCCTCCTCCTCCTCATCATTGCCTTCTTCTCCCGTATCATTCCGAGTATCACCGTCGTCATACTCGTCAACGGTAGCGTTTCCCCCAACGTCTACAGAACCCGTGACAGTATCAAGACGAAACCTTCGAGAGGTTAGGTTAGGGTTTCTGTTGAACCTTAAGCTGAATGCGGCGGTAGATAAGGCAGCGTCGTGGCGGTGCCGAGCGGCAGCAGCTGCTCTGGCTTCGTGACGGTAGAAAATTGAAGATAGGGGGAGTGAAGACGTGGTGGTATTCGTATGCCACCACAACTGGTACTGGACTTGCATTTTGGTTTTTGCCTCGGGGATTGGGCCTCTGCTGTTGTCATATTTTCCATTACTCTATTTGCTTGGCAAAATGAAGTACCATGAATTCTAGGCTCACATGCCAGCCAATTAAAGAGTTAACGTGTGTCAAGATGGTGCTTATGCCTTTTAATTTTAAAGTTGAACAAATAGACAATGCATCTCACGTGGCGATGGCGTTTTACTTGGCAATCGTATCCTACGTGACATCCTAATGTATAAACTATGAACACATATATCTATTTGTTCAACTTTATATAAATTTAACTGTCTATTTGTGCTCACCTAAAGTTGAAGAACATAAATAACAACTGAAATCAAATTTAAGGGCATGTTTAATTTTAAAATCTTTGTTGATGGTCATCATCTTTTTGAGGTATTAATGGTACTCGTTTTTAAGGAGAAGGAAAAAATTGAAGGTCTTAAATTCTAAATAATCAATCAACTAAGCTACCAAAATTCTCATGTTAATAGTAATTGTAATGCCCTTTAGAAATATTATTGGCATGCTCTAGAGCTGAATGGGTGTTGACCAAAGATTCCACAGTCTTAGGGTATGTTCGATATTGAGGAAAACATTTTCCTAAAAAATATTTTCAATTTTTCTATGTTCGATTGTCTTAATATGCATCGTTTTATTTATCCCTTCACATTAGCAAGGGATAATTTACCCTCTATTAGCACATGATCATAGAGTCGAAAGCAAACTTATACAAAAGATTACAACTAATTTGAGATTGACATAGTTGATTAGCAAGTCCTGTGCAATCTAAAAAAGAGCCTTTAATCTGCTTCATGTCTAGAAAGTTACGTTTATGATCATCAAGGCAATTGAATCCATGTCTATAAGAAGCAACTTCTATACATGTCAACACATAACATGTCAATACATCTACAACTTGAAGACTGCTATATATTTCTATAAGTTTTCACAGGAAAAGTTAATATACACATACATCGTTCAGAAGCAGCTTTACAGTTTGTTGACAACTTGAGTACTGAAATATACCTTTAACTAGCAACTTACACCTACGAAGTTTTTGTTTCCTCGATTTACAAATGACAATAGCTCTTTCAATTGCCACAGTCTTGCTTCCTCTTTGCTTGGCTGCAGCACGGCATCTATGTTCTGAACGAATTTAAATGCTATAGCTATCAGCTCCTAACTTTTTTGATTCTAGTATCAGCAATTTCTCAATTTGGTCAACTTTATTCCACATCCCTTTGTGTTTTTAGGTATGCACACAGAGAGCCATGTGTTGACCCTATCCTCACTATATGTCAGATTCTAAGGTTATTACATAGGTGGCCAAGTTCAGGTCTTGCATCCATCCATTCTTTGAATGTTAACTCAGCTGGAGAACTGCTGTAGAGATAGGATCTAAATGTGATCAGGAAAAAATATCGCCTGCAAAAAGAAGAGAAATAAAACCGTTAATTTATACAGAGTTATAAACTTTGCCTGTTCCGCAGCAAAGCACCTTAGATGTAATGTTAACTGGCCATTGCTCTAGGAAAAAGATGGCATCTTTCCATTCCAAGGATGAGGCTAATTGTATAAGACAATATAGCATATGAATGAAGTACGAGCTTCTCAAGGACAAAATCTTTATTCAGTTATTTTGTACTACTCCTAGTCCAATATGTGTTCTGTTATCTGTTTTAGTTTGTCCCGGCTCCAACCACTTTCTAGAAGGAAAAAATTGCCAGTTCTAACAACTTTTCAATATTTTATATGCATTTCTGCTGCACAATAGAAATTTCAGCTTTATCTTAAACAAGCGCCCAAAGAAGGACCTCGAAGATGGTGTAGGGGCAGTATGTTTGTTCCTTGTAAACTGAGCATATTATGTTCTCTGCTTCTACCTTCCATTTTTATCAACAAACACTTCATTAAAAAGAGATGGAAGAAAATTAACCTTAAAGCTCTAATGCCCATATCCATGAGATATGCTCGACGTTCTTCATCGTCATCTAATTTCCTTTCCAGCTCCTGTGAATATTGAACTATATCTTCTCCTAAATGACCTGCACCTGCACACCTTTGAAAAATTGAAAAGAAACTGTCAGAGAAAATATTCAGAAGAACAGTGGCTTGCAATTCAGTTGATTTAAACCTTCAAGATCAAACTACTTAGATCAATTCCTACACCTACACCAACACCATATCAAAGTAGAAGCATGACTTGAGTCTACTCATAAGTAGCAAATTCAGTTTTTCTGTTAGCTTCGAACTTAAAAAGTTGGTCAGCAATGATATTCCAACTTCCTGCTGTACAAAAAATCATCTCCTCTCTAATGATTTTATTAATTATGAGAAAGTCTCCAGTGCACAAGCAGATCTAAAAAGTAAAAAATTTACAACATACTCCCTCTGTTTCAATTAGTTTGTCTTACTTCCCATTCGAGTCCGTTAAGAAAAGAATGCCTTTTTCCTAATTTGGCAACTCTTTAATTTCAACATTCCACATGACATGTTTATGACCACAAGATTAAAGGGCTTTTTGGTACATTATACATATCTTTACTTAACAACCACAAGATTTCAAAAGTCTTTACTTTCTTAAACTATGTGTCCACTCAACTAGGACAGACAAATGAAACAGAGGGAGTAATATGATTCTCCTCGAACGACACCCAATTTTCTATACAAACTGAATTCTGGAACTTCATCAGTGCACCAAGAAAAAATAAGAAATGAGAGACTATTCCTCAAATTCAATCTATCCCACCGAAAGCTCCCCTATTTCTTTACTTCCACAGCACCCACATAAGTTCTAGTTGAGCAACATTCACATCTCTCTGACTGCTTTCTAAATTTTCAGCTGGAGAGTGCCTCCTTCACTATGTCCAACACAGACCTTTACAGCCCGAGACATCTCAAATCTCACACCACAATCAAGTTGCCAACAGACAATATAGGAGGAGGCAGTCCACATCTTCACCTTAACAATAGCATATGAAGCACCAACTGACATATGTATCCACCTCTTTTTCAAATTCTTAACCGTCAATATTGATCCACTCTGCCAAAAAAGGTACAAAGGAGCCATTTTTTGGTGTTGAGGAATCCATACCAACAAAGAATGGAAAACTAATTCCTCCTTCAACAAAAGCTTATGATAATTGGATTTCTCTCTCCTACTTTCTTGGACTCTAAGATAACTATTCTCCAGCGACTCTTGCTGGCCAACGTTTTGCTTGGTAGCTCAGTTTTTCACCCACTGTTATCTCTAACAAACTTCTTCCTTCACTCTTTTCTCATTTTTTCTGCTCAGATTTTCCTCTCACCGCCAGCAACGGGACTTGGTACGAATGGGTAGAAAGAATTTGCAACATGATGAAACGTTCAACTTTGAGCTCAAATACCATGAGGTGGCTCTGTAGTATCCTTGAGGAACCATTGAAAGACGTGGGAAAATATGATTAGGAAGTGGAATACCAAGGAGAAACTCGCAGACCTCTACTGCACCAGGAAATTTAATGTGAAGGGAAGATACATGAGCATCCTGTCGCTTCAGGGGAATGAAAGATCGGTCCTAATAATTCCTTAGTTGGCCTTGAATGCTAGTTGGAATGATATAGCATTTAAGATAGAGAGGTTTATTAAATGCTCCAACCTACTGATCAATGCAGAGCCTTTCAGAGCTTATAAGGAAGATTATCCTTACGCCAGAGTGGTACATGAAAGCAAATGGCAGTATAATACACTTAAAGAGTCCACAGTTGCAGCGGGTCGATGAGATATTTGCATTGCAGAGCCATGGGGGATAAAGGGTAATGGCTTGCTCAATAGATGCATAGTTGGGCATTTTGGACAGGAGATCGCAAAGAAAGTTACACTAGCAGGTATTAGAAGATGGTGCTCTCTTACATGGAAGGCAGTTTTTGAGGTCAATATCTAAATGGGCAGAGAATATGTTTCTTTTCAAATTCCGGAACAGAAATATGGTGGAGCAGACACTAAAGGAGTGGAGATGAAAAAGGGGAAAGATGCGACTTGAGTGGTGGAATCCAACAGTCGGTTATTCTCCAATCTCTCAAAACAATGATACCACATGGATTAGGGCTTTGGGCATTCCACTTCATCTATGGTCGCAGAAGATTTTCTCAGAAGTGTGGAATCTTTGTGGAAGATGGGTGTTTCCACTGAAGAGGAAACAAAACTCAAAAACACCTTAAGTGGCAAGAATCCAAATCATAGGAGATGGCCGGAGCTTCCCCAGTGAGGTAACGATAGAAATAGATGACTTTAAATTCCATATCCCTATTTGAGTCAAGAGAGATGTCCGATTCTGGAAACGCTCTAGCTGATAGGTTTTGGCGAAGAAACTGCTGGTTCAAAGCTTTCAACAGACCTTAGGGAAAAGATGTGCTTTATGACATAAAAAAAGGTCCTGAAAACATGGGTATATAATGTGCAGCTAATAAAGAGCATGTGGAGAGTTCAAGAAAGGGGATTTTGGGGCTGACAGAGCAGTCTAAGTCATTTTCAGTGACTTAAATCCAAACATCTGGATGAAAGTTTCAACCAAATTTTAGTCGAATAAATAACGCAAACAACACTCACAGTATTTTCTTCATCAGTGACAAAAACACAGGGGTCAACGCAAGCAGAACTCCTGAACTTGGGGGAGAAAATAACAGAACCTGGCCTGCAAGGCTCGAAACATGCAAATACCATGACTTAACTATGATGGGTGATACTCTAAAGGAGGGGAAGAAAATAGTGAAAGATCAACATAACTCAATGGCTATCCAAGAAGGAAAAGAGATTGCAAATGGGTATTGGAAGATGCAGAACCTATTCAACAACATCAAAATTTGCTACCAGACAAGTAGATGGATGCAACAATTTGGGTGCACCAAAATTTGATTAAAATGGGCAAAATTTTTGGGGTAGAGTTTCAAGGACATGAGGCAGAAGATTTGGAACTGCTCAAGCAAATTGACAGTAGCCCAGAGAAATGGAAACCGAGGTTTCTATCAAGAGGTCTAGATACAAAGGAGTTCACGAACTAAGAGTACTGCTTTTGATGTCAAGTTCAACTGTTCAAGAATGATGGAAAGAGGAACAAGGGAAAGGGTGGAAATTGTTTTAATGAAGATCAATTTGATGTCATGGAATGTCAGGGGGCTTAATAATAAGGATAAAAGAAAAGTAATAAAGAGCCTGATACACAAATGGAATGGCTGATATCATTTGTCTTCAGGAAACAAAATTAGAAGGGAATGTAAGGGAGATCATTGAAGAGATTTGGAGGAGTAAATGGGTGAGATTTGTCTACTTAGAAGCTAGTGGTACAGGGTATACTCATGTTATAGGATAGTAGAATTTGGAGAGCGACCTCTTTCCAAATTGGTTCATATACCTTAACTTGCAAGTTTGAGACACTCTTACAAGACTTTGAGAGTCACATAACAAGGGTATATGCACCAATTTGCAGATATGAAAGGGAAAATGTTTGGGAAGAGATGGCAGCAGCTAGGTTCTTGATGGGTGGTCCCTGGTTGTTTGTGGGGATTTCAACATCACAAGATTTCCTTCTGAAATGAATTGTAGGAGGAGATCTCCATCTATGTTATACAGGATATGAAATTGATCGATCCTCAACTGAAAGGGGGCTCTTTCACTTGGTTCAAAGAAGATAATCACATGATTGTTTCCAGAATTGACAGAATACTTATATCAGAAAAGGGGGATGATAGTTTCAGCAATATCAAACTTCTACAGAGAAGAGTGGGATGACAGGTTCAGCAATATCAAACTTCTACAGAGTAGAGTAAGATGACAGGTTCAGCAATATCAAACTTCTACAGAGAAGAGTGGAATGATAGGTCAGCAATATCAAACTTCTACAGAGAATTGACTATGATAGTATGGGTCTCTGGGAACAGAACAAATCTTATTTCAAATTTGAGAATTGGTGGTTAAGCACGGAAGGTTTTGTGGACAGAAAAAGAGAATGGTGAATGTCTTTTGAGGTTGCAAGGCAAGTCTAATTATATTCTAGCTTGCAAGCTCAAAGCACTTAAAGGCAAGCTAAAGGAATGGAGAAGTATACCAAAAAATAAAAAAACCTTCAAAAAATAAATGGTTCTCTACCGAAGAAGAAGCCCATCCTTAAATACAAATAAGTACCTCATGGTACACCAAAAAGATATTAAAGATAAGAAACTATTCTTCAAATGTACAAAATCAGGCTCACTTCCTTCAAAAGCTCTTGTAGTTCTCTCTCCATACTACCCACATTAAAGCCAATGAAGCAATATACCATGCCCTATGTCTTCTCTTCTGCCATCTAAAAGCCCAACTGAATACAACATCCTTCACCGTACCCAGCATAGTCCAAAACCAAACCATCTCAGAATCTTCAACCAAAGTTGTGAAGCTATCTGGCAATGCAATAGAAGACAGTCCACATCCTTTCCTGTATTTTTGCACATGAAACACCAACACAATTGCTCCACTTCCTCAAGTTTTCGGTAGTCAGAATCGCTCGTTAACCATGCAAAAAAAAATACATCTTTCTCGACGATGTTGGGGATCCAAATGGACAGGTTTGTAAGATTTGTACATCTTTACAAAGCAACTTGCCATAGTAAGACGACTTTACCGGTAAAAGAGCACCCTTCCCTAAGCCTTATAACCTAGACAACTCACCACTGCTCCCTCTCTATATCTCCCTCTTATCTTGGAGTAATTAGTTTACCCAATTCCCCTAATATGCACATATCTTAATAAGCATTAAACGATATTTTTGACTCACTAATAGTCTTCACCCAATAAAGTCAGAAAAGTTCAGTCACTAGTTCCTTTTACTGTTGAATAGAGATTCCTAATTGAACCTAATGATAATTTTATGGTATAAGGAGTTTATGGAATCTATGCCCTCAACCAATCTCCTGTGTAGTATTCAGTAAGCTGGACTGCTAAAGGAAGCTAGAAGAAACCCATGCATTTATGGATTAAATAGAGGATGTGTACCTTTCTATCACAGCGTCAACGTCTGTCTTGCTCTCGGGGCCGTGCACAAGAACCCTAGTGAGGCTTAATATGTCCCGATAGTCACCCATTTTCTGTGCCTCTTCATCAGAAATCTGAACATTGAAATTCTCTAGAGGTGAACAAGGAAGACCAGTACTTTCAAATGGTCGATGAATATCCAATGACAATTTAACCTCAGCTTCAAGCCTTAAACAAATAATAGCCATTGCATAAGCAATCCCTCCAAATCCTGTGTGTGATACAAAAAGGTAAGATCCTGCAGCGCTGTTTAGAGAAAAAAAAAAGAACAATTAGTTTAATTTTCCTTCTAATGAGAACATAGAAAAGGAAGTCACTGATTAACAACTCTCAAATAAATTCTTCATCGACACAGGTAAAAAAATTATCACTAGAAAGACATCTTATATCCTTTGGCAATCAAAATCACACTGCACCTGACACAGTTAAGACTTTTTCCTCTGGATTCGGGGAGGAGAAATTATCAACTAGAAAGACATCTTATATCCTTTGGCAATCAAAATCACACTGCACCTGACACAGTTAAGACTTTTTCCTCTGGATTCGGGGAGGAGAAATTATCAACTAGAAAGACATCTTATATCCTTTGGCAATCAAAATCACACTGCACCTGACACAGTTAAGACTTTTCCTCTGGATTCGGGGAGAGAAATTATCACTAGAAAGACATCTTATATCCTTTGGCAATCAAAATCACACTGCACCTGACACAGTTAAGACTTTTCCTCTGGATTCGGGGAGAGAAATTATCACTAGAAAGACATCTTATATCCTTTGGCAATCAAAATCACACTACACCTGACACAGAATAGACTTTTTCGCTGGATTCAGGGTGAGAATAGTAAAAGAAGAAGTATGTTATAACATTTATCTTATCAAAGAACGAACGATTAAATCTTCTCAAACATCAAATCAAGCCAGACAACTTTAGGAATGGAGCTTTTGCGCCATTAACTAGTATAAATTGGCAGTAACAAGTTAATGATAGTTCAATTAAGATTCCTAAACTCACAACAACATAACTAGTGGTTTGGGGGGGGAGGAGGATGTACGCAAACCTTACCTCTACCTTTGCGGGGCAGAGAGGATGTTTCCTATCAAAACTCCTAAGCTCACGAAAAAATTAGTATAGCAAGGCATATCCTATTATATCCAATTGGACATTCTCTGAGATATTTAGAGTTTCTGAGACGAGCAATTCCACAAACATGAGTTTTACTTCTAGTTCTAACGCCATCTGTCAATGTCATGGTGATGGCTGCAGAAGGACAAGAAGCTATCCAACTTTCATATACAATCAATGAATTATGCCTCAGTTCTAATATGCCAACTTTTCCCTCACAAAAACAGCTAGTGAAAATTTGAATGACCTCTCTCAGAAGTTGAAGACATTTAAATGTTCTGCAAAGTATGTGCTGCCACTTACTCGTCTTTACAGTATTGGATAGCATCAATATCGGAAGACAGGGCATCTTTCTCTCTAGTCAACGGTATCCTCCTATAGATTATGTCATACCCTTCATACTTCAGGCTTGCATATACCTCAGCAGGAGTCTTAACATCATCCACAAATATGTTTTCCCAATATCCAATGATACTAACTTGATTTGAAGTCGGGTTAAACTCTTCACGATGCAGAAGCATCCTACCACCAGATTGTCTAATCTCACATTGAATGTCATCTTTTAACCGTGCCTCCAAGTGTTCCACCTGTGGGGAAAATGAAGTTAAATAGATAATAAAATCATCGTAACCATTGTTTGAAGGGGTAATTTGATTGACTGACCAATGAACCAGTGATTCCAACATGCTTCAAGGATTCAACAGGCTTGTTCAATTCTCTAAGAACAAAGGGTGTTCCATTAATATAAACAACAGCCTCTTCTCTTAGATCAGTTAAAATTACTCTTTTAGCAAATCTTTCTTTTGACGTCTGGTTTGCACCAAGGTAAGTCAACATCTCCTTTGCACCAGCAATTGTAGGTGTTGCCATGCTATAAATGGGGTATCCATCAACCTAAAAAGGATGAGAAATTCAGTAAGAATTTCAAGTTTTAGCCATTAAAATAAAACTCAAAATTCACAAATTTGTAGATCTATGCATATTCACTACAAAATTTATGTTCTTAGCCTCTATCTCTCTCCAATCAGTGTATTATACTCTTCCAATACAAGGTCATATAAATGCATTGTACATGCAACATTTGCAAATGTGAACAAATCTACCCTATACAATTAGGTAAAAGTTGAATATTTTGTCTATTTATTCTACGACCTGAATTCTGCCTGATTAGACGGATAGAGTCCATGCTGTGATAATTTGAGCTATGGAGATTTTTATTGAGATCTATAATGGTAGGGGAGGGATAAACGAATCCCCTACTGAATCGTCAAGTGAATGGGGGTAGAATACTTCGGACTTCTTTATTTGGCCCATTCTTTATACACTGCTTTGGTAAGGTTTGACTAGCAATTTTTTTGTACTTTCCATTGTTGTTGACTGTCTCTTCTGTAATATTCATAAGGATAGTAATTTTCTGCTTACCTGATCTTGCTGTGCTGTTGTTTTTTGTTTCTGCCTTTACATTAGTTCTCTAATAGCAGCAGAGTGATAAACCAGCCCCATATTGCATCACTGATTGGGGTACTATACTTTGGACTTCTTTGTTTGACCCGATTTTCGTACACTGCTCTGTTTAGTCTTGCCTAGCAGCTTTTCATACTCTCCCTTATTGTTCACAGCCTCTTTTGTATTCATTTTCTACATAACTGCTTCTCTGTTTTCCATTCAGGGTTTACTTATTGTTCAGTGCTTTCATTTCCTAGTATTCTAAGATTCTGGTTGGGAAAAGTAGCAATCTTCTATAATAAAAAAAAAAACAGGCAGAATCATGAATTATCTTCTCTAATAGTAGCAGAGGGATAAACCAGCCCCATACTGCATCACTGATTGGGGTACAATACTTTCTTCTTTGTTTGACCCAGTTTTCGTACACTGCTCTGGTTAGTCTTGCCTGACAGCTTTTTTTTTTTGAGAAAGTTAACTGGTATTATAAACAAAAGGAGTACACCAATAGTGTGCTCCTACATAGTTACATCAAAAGTATGAAAGGACAGCCCAAAACAAAATCTATCTCCTATATTCCTTATAAACTGTCTAGAAATAGGTTAATTTCCCCTATATCCTTAGGTACAGAATGTATACACCAAAAGTAAAATGTTGCTAAACAGTTCATCTTTATACTTTGGAAGGGAATGTTCTTGTTCTCAAAACATCTCTGGTTTCTCTCCTTCCAGATTGTCCACCAGATGCAAGAAGGGACAATCTTCCATCTCTCCTTGTGTTCTGACTGATTTCCATCTCTATTCCAGCATGCTAGTACTTCTGAAGTATGCCTTGGCATGGCCCATCCAATACCCCTCAGAATGAACCATTGCCATAATTTTCCAGTCACTTTACACTGCAGAAAAAGATGATTTACTGTCTCTATTTCAGCTTCACAAAAAAAACATCTAGAGCATAACTGCCTGCCCCTTTTCATAAGGTTGTCCTGGGTCAGAACTGCTTGACTTGCAACTAGCCAAGTAAAACAGGCCACTTTATGAGGTATCTTCCCTTTCCAGATCATCTTCCATGGCCACCATTCCTTGGTTTCTGTTGAGATATTCAGCATCTTGTAGGCTGCTTTCACCCTGAACTTGCCACCTTTGTCCAAACTCCATAATAGTTTGTCTTCCTCAAAATTGAGACTCTTAGCTTGTTCCAAGGTATTGTAGAACTGAATCATTCTCTCCACTTCCCAGTCATTGAGGAGTCTTCTGAAGGATAGATTCCAACCTTGTGCATTTTTGACCTCTGAGATAGTAGCTAGCTTCTGTTGATTGAGATTGTAAATGTCTGGAAACTGTTGCCTCAGAGGTGTTTGCCCCACCCATATATCATTCCAGAACATGGTCTTTCTGCCATTACTCACTTTGATCACAGAATTACCCCACATTTTTGGCCACTGATTTCTGATAGTCCTCCATAGAGGTATTCTTGAGTCTCAAAGGCATATCCTGGGCTATGCCTAGAAGAATTACTGAAGCCCTAAAAAGTTGGGAGGAGGCAGGAGTGCTAGCTAAAGACAGAACGAGATGGAGAATTATCCCTGCTTCAATCTGGTGGGCAACCTGGAAAGAGAGAAATTCTAGGTGTTTTGAGAGCGTAGAGAATAGTATGCAGAAAGTTAAACTCAACTGCATTTTGTTGTTATGTTTTTGGTGCAATCAATTATACTCAAATGAAACTGTCTCTATAATTGATGTTCTAGATTCAATTTAGATTTAGAATAGTGGAGTTTTTGGAGTTCATCTGTATATAAGGTTTAGTACTGCCCATGTACTATTGTGTTATAATACAAAGTTACCAAGTTTCAAAAAAAAAAGATAGTCCTCCATAGTCCCCTTTCATAAGGAGTTTTAACTGCCTGAGTAGTCCATGGTCCTTCCCTACCATATCTTGCAATGATGCTTTTCTTCCATAGGCCCTGCTCATCTGCTGCTAGTCTCCATAGCCATTTTAGCAGAAGGCCCTTGTTTTGTGCTTTCAGATTCTTAATTCCTAAACCTCCCTCTTTTTTGGATGTTATGACAACCTCCCACTTAACCAAATGGTGCTTCTTCTCCCCTTCACCATTGCCTTGCCAAAGAAAGTTTCTCCTGATAGCATCCAACTTTTTGATTATCTTCCCATGAATGGGGAAAAGGGACATCATGTAAGTTGGCATGGCATCAAGAACACTATTGATCAGTGTGACTCTGCCACCCAAAGATAAATATTGACTTCTCCAGTTAACTAGCTTCTTTTCACACCTTTCCACCACAGAGTTCCATATGTTCATGGACTTACTCTTAGCTCCCAATGGCATTCCAAGATAGGTGGTGGGAAGCTCTCCTATCTTACCACCTAAAATGTTTGCCAAAGTACTGATTTCTGGAACTTCATTCACAGGATAGATAAAACTCTTTTCCCAATTTATATGAAGTCCAGACACTGCTTCAAATAGGATGAAGATAACCCTTAGGTGTTTTAGTTGTTCCTTCTCTGCTTCACAAAAAACCAAGGTGTCATCAGCATATTGTAAATGGGAAATAGACACTCCCAGGGAGTTTCCTTCATTCACAGTGAAGCCCCTGATTCTGTTATTCACCTGAGCACTCTTCAGCATGTCACTTAAACCTTCCATGGCCAAAATGAAAAGAAAAGGAGACAGGGGGTCTCCTTGTCTCAACCCTCTCTCAGAGGAGAAGAAACCAGTTGGAGAGCCATTTATCAAAACTGAAAACTTCACTGTAGTTATGCAGAACCTCATCCATTTTATCCATGTGTTGCCAAACCCCATCCTCCTTAATGTTCTCCACATATGTTCCCAATTCAAATGATCATAAGCTTTTTCTATGTCTAGCTTGCATAGAATTCCTGGAGCTTTGGATCTGTATCTCAAGTCCACACATTCATTAGCCACCAATATTGCATCCATAATTTGCCTGCCCTTTATGAATGCCATTTGTTGTTCATCCACTGTTAAAATCTTTGATATGATTTTGTAGATACTCCCAATCAAGCTAATTGGTCTAAAATCTTGCCTGACAGCTTTTTATACTCTCCCTTGTCGTTGACAACCTCTTTTGTACTCATCTTCTACATACCTGCTTCTCTGTTTTCCATTCAGGGTTTACTTATTGTTTTTCATATCCTAATATTCTAAGATTCCGGTTGAGAAAACTAGCAATCTTCTATAACAAAACCAGGCAAAAACATGCCTTATCTTCTCTCTTTTTTTTTTCTTTTTTTTTTTGTTTCTTGTTTGTTGTTTTGTGGGTATATTCTTCTCTCCAATTTCCTGTGTGTATGCATTTCATCAGAGTTTTCATACTCACATTTTTGCATTTGATCCTAATTTTTTCAAGTCTATTTATGTATTATTGGTCTCGCGCATTATAGGCAACAAAAAAAACTATGTTAACATAATACTCTATATATTATTGTATACTATTTTTTATTTTTAAATGGAAAAAAACATTTACCATACACATAAATATACTGTATGCTAAATTTGTCTCAAAGCATTATTACTCTATCTAGTTGAAAATAGTTGTTTGCCATATAAAAATTGGCTTCAAAATCTATGTGATGAAAATCTTGTGTGTGGATGATAAAGGCCTGTGTTGTAAATGGTACAATACATTTCTCTTGGAAACCCTAACACAAGTATAACTATCTCCATATTAGGCATGTGAAATCAAAATTCAGCTTCTCTTATCGTCCTGACAATAGTGGAAATTTAACATACCCTGTAAACATGAGGAGCACCATGAATTTGTATGTGACTGGAAGTTCTTTGGCCAGGAAAGAAGTACATCTTGAGAATAGACCCTTTACCAAGAACAGAGCCATTCCGATCTTTCACAATAGCTTCCATAACAGCATCTCCATGTTGTGACTCATGTGCAGCTCTTAGTTCCTCCTGTACAAACAATTATAACAGAATCAAATCGAGCTTCAAAAGAATCCATAACCATGAGACAGACAGATGACAGAGGCATTACCGGGATGGTAAAGAATCTCCCAGGCCGTAATCTGATTGACCACTTCATTGCTTGAACCTCTGGCCTCTGGTGCAGCCAATCTTTGAATGTCATCCTCGATTCTCCTTGTCCACAAAATCCATCAAATGCTTCGCTACCAAGATATGCAGCAAAAGCAATCAAACGAAAATATCGTTCCAAGTATTCAGCACCACGATTTAGTGCTACCCTTCTTTCTCTAGGCTCATTATGCTGCTGATTAAACAACTTCCTGTATTGCAAGACTGCTTGGCGTATGTTCTGCAGAGCTGAACATCGATCAATAATGGCATCTAAGGCCTCTCGGCATTCCACCCCATTATCAAACAATCTTGTTATTTTCCAGAGCAACAGGATGTCATTTATCCCAAATGCATCATTCGTGTGTGTTTGAGGTCTACTTTTCAATACTAAAGGTGCAGGTGGATGGGATTGGCCTTCACTTTCATCACCGCTTGACATATCACCACCTAAATCAGGATTTGATGCATCATGCAATACTCTAATTGGTCTCCCACAATCAATACGTAATTTCAAAAGGCATGCAGTTACAGTTCCAGTAGTAGTCCTCCCTATACCCATCTGTATTCGCAGAAAAAGTAAATCAGCATCATCTGTTTGGAGCCAAATGTCTCGGAAAATACAAGTAAATCGAAGAAGAAGAAGAAAAAGAAGAATAGATACTAAGTTACCTGGCAATTAAAGACAAAAGCAGTATCCTTGGAAGCAGATGCTATATTAAAAGACAATACATCGAAGTCAGAACTTCGGGGAGCTTTGCCATCAGTGATAGGAACACGAGCATACTTTATAGGAAAACCATCAGCCTCCAAGCACTTAAAGACCTCCACAGGAGTTTGAACTGCATCAGAGCTCACATGTTCCCAAGCATCAAATATTTGACCGTCATCAGTTTCATGAATAACCATTATTGCTCCTTGATAACGTTCAGCTTCTCGCATAATGTCATCCTTTAATCTAGCTTCCATTTTTTCTACTCTTTCACGATCGATGCCCTATATTCATTTAGTTGTAACTAGCCAGTTTAATAATCATAACTCAAAATCATAAGTAATAGACGAGTCAAGACCCTAAAGCAAATCCACTTAAAAGAAGGAAATATCTTGTATTTTCAGCAAACTCTGTAACACAAGAAGCCCTTGCATTAGAAATGAAAATATTGTACACCGAAGAAAACAAAATAAGGCTTTTAAGATACAGAACAGGAACTTTAACAACTTCCAAGTAAAAGATAAAATAGTTACTGAAACACATGCGTAATTCAATATAGAACTACCTGTACCATTTGAAATCTATCAAAATCAGCTTGGAACAAATTCCAGTTTATGCAATCTGATTATTCGGTACAAAGGAAGTACTGATTAGATTGTCTTCTTTGATAAATTAATATCAGCCAAAGGTTCAAAAAAGGGACTTAAAGCAAAGATATTTGCACTATGTTCTACTCCCTCCGTGTCAATTTAAGTACCTTAATTTGACTAGGCACGGAGTTTAAGAAAATAAAGGAGACTTTTGAATCTTATGGTTCTAAACTAAACATGTGTACAATGTACCAAAATACCCTTTGAATCTTGTGGTCTTAAGCATGCCAAATAGGATTTTGGAATAAAAGAGTTACTAAATATAGAAAATATCATTGTTTTCTCAACAGACCAATAAAGAAAGTAAGACATATAAATTGAAACAATTGAGATCTCATCGGATTTAATATCAATAAGAATATCTTCTAAAATTAATAACATGTGACACAAGAAATTGCAAGAACTTTTAAAAAGGTAGTAAGACAAAAAATTAAAATCATACAGAAGCTCCATGATCTACTTTTCTTGATTTTCATGTGAAAAGAAAAAGAAAGAAAGAAGCTGCATTCCTCCAAACAGAGAAAACCAAAAGGTAGAGGAACGGCTTCTGACAGCATAATAGAAGTCTAAAATATGGATTCAAGTAACAGTCTTAGAAATGAGTATCCGAGACAAGTATGGATCTGATACAGGTCAATTCAATTTTTTATCGTTTTTAACATGCCTGTTTTAAAAGATCCATATTATGATACAATACAATGTCACACACATTTGGCAATGATACGTCAATGCAAAATGAAGGGTTTATGCATCATCAGCAGTAACAAGATCTGACATAAGCTATTTATCTAAAATTTGCATGAAATTGCATTCATACCGTGTATTCAAGCATATTTTTATAGGGCCTTTCAACCTCACGGAGTACAAATGGTTTTCCGTTGATGTAGATAACAGGTTCTTCTCTCATATTGTGCCAGAAAACTGGACGCCCACCTTTGGAGCTACCAATCCTTTGAATTACAGATCGAATCCCACTGACAGTTGGATTTGCAACACCATATACAGGAAATCCTGGAATTTCTCTAAAGTTAGGAGCACCTTCTAATATTTCTGGCAAGCCAGGATGTTGACAGCCAGGGCAGTGGTCACTCTTAAGAACAGTTTGCGGTCCGAGAACCTCTCCGTTCCTCAAAGCAGCTACTTGCCCCATCTCAGAAGGGCGATCATCAGTAGAGTCAACTAATTTAGCAAGAGAAGGTTCCAGGCTCACATAGCCAAGTGCTCCCATTGGGTCTCTCCTTAGCAACCTGCAGCCAAATCTAGCATATAAGTCTTCCAATAATGCACGATTCCTTCGGGATTTTACAGGGGGAAAAAACATCTCTTAAAAGCACATACAAGTGTTCACAAAGTTCTATAAACACCAATCCAATGACAAGAATCATAAACTAGTGTATGTAGTAATATCTTTTTCAATACAAACCATCATCCACAGAGATGAGATGTTATAAGGAAGCCTTCATTACATTAGAAAAATTTAAGCAAATCAGAACACCAGCCACATATGGGAAGTAACTAGATCAATGCATCACATAGTAGAGACAACTGACTTACTAAACTTCAGAGGCTTCTCAAAGTTCAGATCCACAAGTTCAAAGAGATGTTTCTACCTGTTCTCTCCAAATACCAATCACCAAGCCCCAAACCAAATAACTTAAAAAGGAACTAAGATGGGACAAATTGAACAAACTTAGTGATTGCATAGATTTTCTTGAGAAATATTAAAGTTAATTTTCTCCATATAATATTGGTGGTTTAGAATATTTAAATATTTAATGAACAAGTAGATTGCATGGCTGCTAGGGTGATCAGATGCCATTCGACAACTGAACTGAACATCAGTTTAGTATATGGAGATTAGACGTCAATTTTGGCCAAATTATGTTCACATTCTGGAGGCATCTCTTTAATTTCTCACATACATTTACGACGGTTCAAATTCTGTAAACATGAAAGTTTATAAGGCCTAAAAACAAGTGTATATAATACACATGAATCAGTGACAAAATACTGACATGAAAAAATGATGCAAGATAACCACCTGAAAGAGTCGGTTGCAGCAGTAATATTTATGTGTCGAAAAAAAATCAGAGTAAAAACAATAATCAGAATAACTACGACAAAAGTGCAACATAAAATCATGTAAGGAAAGCACTTTAAACATAATAGCAGAATATTTTATCCTTACCTGCGGATTATACTATATAACTCCGGTCTTGCTTTCATCCAATCACTAAAGCTGCAATGAGCAGAGGACCCAGCAAAAAGTGCATCTCGTTGTGTATGGAGATATACAGCAAAACATATGAGGAAGTAATATCTTTCTAGGTACTCCACAAAAAATGAAAGTGCTGCCTCTCTCTTCATCTCATCAGGTTGGCGCAAAATGCTATTGCGATATATGGCAATAGCTTCACGTAGGTTCTGCATGTAGATCCATGTATTAAATTAAAAATTTGCATCATAATTTTTTTATCTCAGACCCACACGAATAGAAACTGCAAAATTTCAAGCATTCTAAAATGAGATGAAATAAAAGGGATGATAGAAAGATTCTTCATGAGTTGTTCTCATCAGAAGAAGCATATCATGCCAATAAGAAGACAGAATAGAAGATTGTGCGGAAAAAATAACCAAATGCAAAACGTAGTAGAAGCAAAACATTTTCTCACACATAATAAACCCCTACCTGCATAGAGGAACATTTGTCTATGACCTTATCCACTTGTCTTTTGCCTTCGACACCACCCTATAAAGCACAACCCCAGTCAATATTAGATCAACAAAATGCCAAATCTGCTAAAATTATTGAAATAGAAAGTTATTGTTTTGCTACCTCTAATACTCGAATCAAGCTTCTAATTACAGTATATTCCCCTCTACGGATTGCCTCCTCTGAGTTTGCTAATGTGTCATTCAGATTGGAGATGCAGTCAGAAACTCTGCCAATGGAATTGCTCCTCGGAATTCCTGTTAGATGAAAACATCTCAAGTAACATTTCCAGAAGATTTAAACATAGAACTGATGAGAATTAAAAGAGTGATTCATGCAGACCCTGCAGGACAGACAGGTTTAGTGATTTAGCTTTTAGATCAAGTGCTGGCAATCTACCTTCACAGTTTCTTGTTTTTGAGGAAATAAAGTAATAAAATTTTATTCATGAAGGGCAAACAATTGACAGTATACGAGTATACACAAAAAGTAGAAAGATTTACAAGAAGATAAGACTTTGTACAAACAATAGTACATCACCCAATCATCTATACAAATAAGAAACCTCGTAGGCGCACAGAAGAAAAAACAAGGACAAGAGGCTACTCTTCAAGTGTACAAAATCACTCCGTCTTCTAAGGGTCCAACTAAACATCACTTATTTCCGCTGCCTGGCATCACCTACTGAATCGCAAACCATCTCAGTATTTTCCACCACAAGCGAGACGCTACCAGACAATGTAAAATAAGATAATTCACTTCTTCATTCGAACTTTTACACATAAAATACCAACTGGCATATGTAACGTTCTTCTTCCTCTTCCTCAAATTCTCAATTGTCAAGATCATCCCTCTCCCCCAGTTAGCCAAACGAAAAACACACCTTAATCGAAACCCTAGGATTCATACTGATAGATATGTAAAAAGAATCTCCTCCATTACCAAAAGTTTTTCATACTAGGAGTAAGCAGAATATATGCCACTATTCCCTTCCTTTTTAAACAGACGGATTCTAAACATTAAACTTCATTATTCTGAAAGAGTCTTCTCTTCCTTTTTCTTCACGTATCAGAATTTGGATATTGAGTCGCTCTGCTAAGCATTAAATTTCCGATACCTATTCCCTTAAAAGATTCTTTTTCATCTCCTTCTTCATAATATTACAGTTGGGGTATTGAGTTCCTCCTTTTAACATTGATTCCGATGACTATTCTAGAAAAGTTATTTTCTCTTCTCTCTTCATGATATCAAAGTAAGGTATTGAATCCCTTTTCTCTGAACAAATGAATTTCAGGTCACTATCCAAAAAGAATAAAAGAGATCCTTCCAACTAAAAAGGCTTAATAAAACAAAATCCAAGAACAAAGAGCGAGAGAGATTTTGGTGTATCTGGACGTAAAGTAAAGATATTCTGATGGTCCATCAACTCCCATTCACACTGTAAAGTCTAGATATAACAATTCAGTTGGCATAATCTTTTCTTTTATATTGGTAAAAGCATGGGATTCTTTCGTTTATGTCCCTTCGACCAAACTTAATTACCAGCGCTAGCCGAAATATACAAAATCTGTACTCTGATTATGTATATTAATTGTATATATACATTTATACTTAAATACATAAAACCTAGACATTTGCTTGTAATTTTGTAAACTAGATCACCCAAATGCATTGGTTTGTAATTATCCCTAAAAGTATTGTATTTTTTTTTGTTTCTCGCCCGGTTTCCGGTACCCCCGTTGGGGTCTAACTAAATCCAGAGTCGCACCGTGAAGTCCCACATTGGGAAAAGTATTGTATTAAAGAGCAGCAAACTACTGCAAAGTATTTACAAAGGAAAGTCTCATTAAAGGTTGTGTAATGAGCTCAAAAAGTCTATAATGACCTCTACATCATTTGCAATTTCCATCTTACACCAATAAAACAATAAAGAACTGCATCTCTCCTTAATGCTGATTACAGATTCCTCTTTGCTCTCAAAAATTCCTGAGTTCCTTCTTTCTAAATGATCCGCCAGATGGAAACAGGCATTGTATTCCATATCTTTTGCTTGTCCTTCCCCAGCCCTTTCAAGTATCAACATTTTGGTAGCTCAGTAGTTGTCCTAGGCATTGCCCAGCTAACCCCCCC